CCCCAAAACCCCAAAACCCCAAAACCCCAAAACCCCTTGGAGTAAGTTTTGTGTAGAGATTCATAAAATAATTATTGATAAATCGCATGGCTGTTCCAACCGGAGGTATCAACAGATACCAAATTCCTAATCAAATACATGACAAAACCCTTTTTACACAAATCCAAGAGGAGGGGGACACTTTCGACCCCTTGTTGCTGTTCCTCCTCGGATATAATTTCTGCAAATTTGAGGATAATTACGAAGGAAAGAGCTTCTTCGAGTTAGCCAAAATTATGCAGAGAAGTATCGGAGGAGAGCTCCTGAACAAACCTGAACTGCAAAAGACCTACAAGACACTTTATGAACAAGAATATCTAAGCGATGTTCTTAATCTCCAATGGTTCAAGCGATATAAAGCAGATTTTGAAGAAGAGCATGAAGCTATTTCCCTGATGAAAAAGAACCCTCGGGTTAAACAAAAGAAGAGAGAGGAAAACAAAGATTGTCCTTTCTCCCCTGCTGGCCTGTCCAAATCACCCAAATCTGTCGAGCCCGAAGTCATCCCTGAAGAAGGGGATTTCCAACAGATACCTTCCTTCCTGATGAACGGTGACATATCGGGACAAGAAAATAACGAAGGAATGGATTCCTTCCAAAACTACCAACAAATTATCGCTCAACAAGAAAAGATTGAACAAGAGAAGAAGCTTAGAGAAGAAGAGGAGAGCAAAAAGCTTATCGAACAACTCCTTGCTCAAGAAGAAGAGCAAGAGCAGCGGGCCAAAGAGGCAGCGGAGCGACAAGAGAGGGAGTCCATACTCGCAGCTCAGGAGATACAAAAGCAATTCGATGAAGAAGCTAAGCTTAGACGTCATGAAGAGGAGGAAAAGAACAAGCCTGAATGAAAAATCTGATATGATATAATTGAATTCGGTGATATTAATGTCCTTGGATGAGGTCACATCTATCACCCATATTGTATGAAGATGCACTTGCAGACGAAGACAGACTCCAAATCCTTCCCTCTTTCATGCCCTGAGCCAGAATGAGGAATGGAGCTGACAGACTTAGAAATACAAACCTTCTGTGATGGAGAGCTTTATGATAAAATTCAAAAGTTCCAATTTGAGCTCTTCCTTGAGCAAAACAATGAGATGTTCAATCACTGTCCGACTCCGGACTGCAAGTTTGTCTTTGAATGGGATGGAAACAAGGAAGATCAGCAGTTCAAGTGCGGATTCTGCCACAAGACCTACTGTATCATGTGCAGAGTAGACTGGCACGAAGGCCTTAACTGCAAAGAATACAGAGAACTGAACGGATATCCTCCTGAAGACAGGGCTTTCTACAAGTTCATCAAAGGAAGTCCTTTCAAACAATGCCCCAAGTGCAAGTTCTGGGTTGAGAAGAGCTCTGGATGTGACCATATGACTTGTAGATGTAAGTATGAGTTCTGATACAAATGCGGCGGGAAGTACAGAGAGTGTGAATGCTGCAAATAAGAACCCATGTTTGCTTTAAAATCTGCAAAATAGAAATTATTAATCAACTCTTGTCAAATCCAACGGGGTTTTGGGGTTTTGGGGTTTTGGGGTTTTGGGGTTTTGGGG